GTCCTTTCTGCTACTCATAAGCAAGTACCAAATTATCACGCCCTACGCCTGTAACGTGAATTCTCAAAAAGTCTGTTGTTGTGGGATGGGCAACATCGCATGGATACGCTCCTGTTAGGATTCAAGAGATCTCTTTGCAAGAGATGCTGCCCAAAATTAGCTCAGGGACCTTTGACACTAACTGGAGAGCAACTGCGTACAGAATCGTTGTGTGAAACTCATGGGAGGTCATACCTGCCGCTGGGGAAGGAAGGGGGGTCGTATGTGCCTCCGAGAGAATTTTGCCGCGTCGGGGAGAAATTTCACCTCGGCTGTTGACTTTTTGTGGTTTTTCCCGTTTTACCTTTGTTATATACCCCCTACTTGGTGGCGGCGCCAAGTTCTGTATTACTACTATTCCCGATAGTTGAAAATAGCAAGTTGGTTTCAGACGACCTCCCACCTCCCTCGTTCGACAGCAAAGGAAATTGAGGAAGTTTGGGTGAAAAAAAGAAATTTTTGGGAAATTCTGAAGAAAACTTGTAGGAAGCTGGGAGTATGTAGAAAGGTGGGAGATAGGTGTTGGGGAGGGATGGGAGGGGGGGGGGGCGTACCGAGACCTTTTTGGGGATCATATTGACACCACCATTTCTGGCGCGGATACAGTATACTGACACCCACCATTACACGCGTACTCGGCCACGGTGCTTGCCCTGACCTTACTAGGGAGGTCGGTTCAGAGACGTGTGCAGCGCATTTTTGAAACAGGTTTTGTATGAATGTGGGGCTTACGTGCAATTGGAGTACCAAACTGGTGTTCATTTTTCCTGAACGCCTCTGGGAATGCCAAAAATGGAGTGAAAAAGAAGTCCATGGAAACCGACTGTTTTTGAGCCTGAATGGGCTCTAAATCACTCGCAACTTCGGCCAGTTGCTGCCTATAGGGTCCTTATAAAGGTACTGGTATCGATGAGAAAAGTAGTCGCCAATGGGGTCCTACTTGTGGCACGTAGTCCCCAATTTGGAGCCAGTCTTTCCCACTGGAGTCGCTATGTACATTCGTTTGAGGGACTTGCAGGGCCATTCTGACGCCAGATTGGGTTGATGTCAAGAATAAGTGTCAGAATCGTGATCAGGACCATCGATTACCCCTATAGGCAAACTTTCGGCCAAAAAATTTTTTTGACTTTTTTTGAGTTGTGATAGACCGACCATTTGGTCGTCGGTGATGACCGGAGACCCACAACTTTGGAGCTGCGATGACGTAGCGATGACGTGGTGGGCCGCCGGGCAGCCGCATCGCGGATTTGGTGCTCATAAGGTCCATTCATACTTGGCATGGGCATGGGTGGCCGCAGAACAAGTGAAAAACCATCCTGGACATTTGTCGACCCCCGCGACGCTCCTCAACGAGAGATGTCGCTCCGTCGCCCTACCAAGAGGAGAGACTCATCCGATTTCTTCATCAAATGCACCTGGAGGAATGATGACTATTTTGTTCTTTTTTCGATGGCGTTTATGGTTGTTGCTAGTTTTTTGTTTCCGTACCACTGAATGAGGGTTTCGATAACCAGCAAAAGTACGACTTCAACAAAGTGACTCTTGAGCATAACCCAATGCACAGACCTTGGCAAAAAAGTCAAAAAAAAATTTTTTGGCTGAAAGTTTGCCTATAGGGGTAATCGATGGTCCTGATCACGATTCTGACACTTATTCTTGACGTCAATCCAATCTGGCGTCAGAATGGCCCTGCAACTCCCTCAAACGAATGTACATAGCGACTCCAGTGGGAGAAAGACGCTCCAAATGAAAAATAAAATGCCTGATGACTGAAAGTAAATGCCATAGTCATGATCAGGGCATCGAATAACATAAGCTCAGCTTTCAGACAAGTTCTTGCTTAATGGTTTGTGAAATCGAAATCGCTGAATAGCACCGACTACGGGCTATAACTATTTAGGATGTGCCTATAAATGGCAGATATCCGAGTAAAATTCATTAACAGACGTATATGGAAGCGACAACAACGGAAAATAAAAATGCAAAAACGTGCAAGCCGAGGGGAGTCGAACCATCATCCCCCATCCCCACTGTCTGCTTGAGAATCCTCCACGCTATCCACTAGGCCATCCGATCGTTGGCACAGGCACCACTTCGATTGCTTAAGAGCCCATTCGAATTGGCCGTCGACTCTTAACTACGTGCCACAAGTAAGACCCCATTGACGACCACTTTTCTCATAGATACCAGTACAACCTTTATAAGGACCCTATAGGCAGCAAATGGCCGAACTTGATTGCGAGTGATTTAGAGCCCATTCAGGCTCAATAACAGTCGGTTTCCATGGACTTTTTTTTCACTCCATTTTTGGCATTCCCAGAGGCGTTCAGGAAAAATGAACACCAGTTTGGTACTCCATGCACGTGACCCCACATCATGCGAAAAACCGTTTTCAAAAAGCGCTCCACGTCCTGAACGGAGCTCGCCTAGTTAGTGGTTCTGTCGAGAGTTGGACTGTAATGGCCATAATCCCTCAATCCCACTACTCCTTCCCAGGTTGTTACTCAATAAGTCGATAGCACGGGATTACCGATATAAATTCCCGTCGACAGGCGTCAAAGCAACGATTGGAAGTTTAATTGAGACTTCGTTCACTGTCCCTCCCTCGCTATTCTCGTAATCTCGTAAGAACGACTCTGTACCGTGATAGCTTCTCCCATTGCGATTTCGTGACGATGACAACAGAATCCCGCAATAGCCGTGTCCATAAGTCTGGCACAGACATTCGAATGCAGCCAGATACGCTATTATACTATATTTTATTGCCAGAGCAAATATGTCATTAGGTTTTTCAGGGGTTCTCAGCGAAAACAATGAATACCCGACTTTACATGGCGAAAAAAAGAGCCACCATGGATTCGAAGCCATCCAAAAGGTATATGAAAAAATTCCTTATTCTAAGGATGGCATACTCCAGATGACACCTGTGAAGACACTGCATAAATACAACTGAAATAATTAGAATGATGCATACACCTCCATATCCGCTGAAATTGAGAGGGAGTGGTTGCGCACTTCACTTGAAAGTGGCGACTGCTGCGTTTCGCTCCGGGATATGGAGTGCCGGCAAATTCCACCGTATCCTAGCTGGATGACCTATCACATGTAGTCGTTTCCGCTGCACTATGTAATGTCGGCTGGAATAGATTTGGCCCTGCGCCAGCCCGCCTTCCATCAAATGATGTAGCTTCAACAACTGATGGGAACGGGCTGACGCCACGTCAAACCCGGCCCCCTGACACGCCCCAGCGTCTTTCGTGAAGGGGACTGTAGCATTTGCTGAAAGGGGTATGTGACAAGTCAAACGCTCCCCACATGGACGAGTTGCGCTGCCCGGCTTTTTGAACTCAAGTGCCAAAGGACGGGATAGTACGGATCCTGTCCGTGAATGGGGCATTTTTGCGATCAAATGATGATCTGGTTTGCTAAGCCCCCCCCCCCGCCACGCAGTTCGACTAACTGATACATATCGGCGACTTGTGCCGCGCAGCAGAGCACGACACACCCGTCTTTGAGGACAGCGGCAGATTGCGAAATTGTTCTCCGCCTTCCTCTGTGATTGTGGCAGTAACTTGAAAACTCCGCCATAATCTGCGAGCGCCGCCCACGTTTGCTTGGGTCATGATTCTTGCCGTCCGCTACATCTCTGGAACTATTGCGATGTTGAACTTACATGTTAGAAGCAGCACAAATCGGAGACCTGTCACTCCCATGCAACCAAAGAAAAATAGAAAGGCATATTCGAAGCCGATGATCTGAACTAACCAGCTTCAAGTGATGATATTTTTTGAAAAATTCATTTTCTGAAAAAGTAGGCATGAAAAGAGAGGAAGAGGAAGAGGTAACGGCGTAAAGCTCCCGCGAGAAGTCTCCAAGAATGCTGGCTTTTGCCATCAGTGAGGAATAACTAATAATGAATATAAAGATGTTTGCTTTGTGTCACTTCAAATTTGGGTCTAAATAGGCCATGGGAGAAGGCAGCTTTGAAAGATTTTTTGGCAAACGTGGGAAACATCAATCCGGAGTAGAAGCAGCACTTTTCAGGATAGTTCTCGGAGATCTCGTATCATCAATTAAATTATGATAAGACTGAAGTCCCCACATCCAATGGCAAAATAAAATCCCCAGTTTGCATGATGCCATCTAATCTTTCCCGCCCCGAAGTTTATAAGTCCCTGAGGCTGCGGCTAGCGTACGAATCCTGCCGGATCTTGTCCGGTCCACTGGGAGCCAATTGTGAAGCACGAGATGAATTTGCTAAAGCCACTAACAAGCGTTGAGTGAGGCCTCGTCGTATACAATAGTCATGCCGACCGACAAAATTTCCCTCCGCCCTCCTACTTCCAACCCACCCTCCACCTGCGGTCCATTTGATCGAAAAGTTATGTTAAGTTTCCATTTTCTCAGCCTTCGAAGGCTCCGTCATGCCTCTCTCGACGGTGGCCTCTTCTTTTATTGAGAGAGTAAGACGGAGAGGTGCCTTTTCTTTTGAGCGTAGTATAGTACGCGAGTGGTGCGCTCTGTCTCTCTCCGCCCATATAGTCAAGGCAGACAATGTCCTTGAGGGAGGCCATGTGTAATACAATTGGCTCTAAAAACCTTGAACCTACAGGAAAATTCAAATGAGATCGTGTCAAGTATAATTTTGAGAATGAAACAAGACGCAGCCCGGCTAGGGGGAGCATCAAATGGTACTCAGCAAAGCTTACACAGGCCACTTTGTGAAGACCTGTAAAATCCTGTGAGGAATGCAGCTCACTCACGTCAACGCAGTTTCAGAAGCGTTTACAGGTCTCATCAAGGAGAGACCTGTTCGTTAATATGAAACATGAACTAGCGAAAGGGTATAGTGAAAGTGCGAAATGCTCAATTTACACCGTGCCCTCCCCCCCCCAAATCGAACAACGCCGAAAACCGTTTTATAAAACAATGTACTAACGAGCACTGCATACGAATGCACTTTAAAGTGTAAGGAATTAATTGTGAAAGAATGAAACAAATTAATTAATGATTGTGAAGAAGACTTTACCGCATAATTGACCTTTCCTTGACTGGTTTTCATAAAACTCCTGAAAAACAAAAGATAGCAGACTAGCTTTTTGCAGATCTGCAGGTCAGGGCACGCCATCGTTTCAGAAATAACGGGGAGCGTCGCATTTCGTCGCTAAGGCTTGGGGGGGGTCGCATGTTACTTTCAAAGAGCTCTCCCGCTTATTAATGAAATTGTAGGTGTGCTACGATTGGAGGGTTGCACCGAAGGAGAAAACTGGTTGAAGGGCCGTGTTTGGTAGGGTTTTCCACAGGACGATCATGTTCTCTGGTGCGGGCATCAATCGACGGAAAGTATTGGGAAAATTTTGGGGGGATGACCTACCGAGGTTCTTCTTTTGGAGGAGCGCACTGACACTGCCATTCCCCACCCATCCCGATGATGTGCCCTGATTTCAACGAATCCAGGGTCCGCTCGAGGGAAGAAACCCATCGAAGAGGTAAGCGCCCGGTCTTGCCTACGGAGTGCAGCATCGATATGTGAAATACATATGGGGTCGTACTTTTCCGCAGGGAAGGGGAACGGGTCGTATTTGGTGGTTGTTGGGAAAGGGGGGGGGCTTTGAGAAATTCGCCGCGTTGGGAAAAAATCTGCCGGTTAATGATTTTTCGTGATTTTCCCTGTTTTATGTGTATTATAGTTTGTGACATTGCAATGGCCGCGAGCGCAGCGCGGCACAAGCACGCGTCGGGCCGCCTTGCTCTACCAATGGTGATCGAGCAATGATCGATGATCGATGTAGGAAGGAATCAGCCACTGGTGGGGCCACAGGTGGCAACCGCTGATTGCGACCCGACAGATCGCGGTGATATAAACTTTATATTCCCCCCCCCCCTCCCCGCTCGACAGCAAAATTTTTGGGAAAAGTAGGAAAATTTTTGGGAGATTCGGGAAAAAGTGGTAAGAAGTGGGGAAGTTTTGGGAAATTTTCCCGTTTTGCATTGGCTATGTATCCCCCCCCTCACCGACGGAAAATTCGTGGGTGAAAAACTGGAAAATGAGGGAAATCGGTAGGTGTTGGGTTGGGGAAGGGGGAGGTCGTACCGGACCCTCCTTTGAGAGGGGAGGGGGTGGGGGTCGTACCGACACCACCATTTCACTTATCACGATGTTGTACCCTGCTTGCCTTGCCCTGCCGTAAACTTCTGCTGCACCAGATATGCTCCTGTTGCTAGAGGATTAGCAGGAATTCTGGATTACACTGAACTTTTTAAAGCTGCCGTCCAAGGAGGAGGGAGGTCCATGGGTCGACCGAAAATCTCATAGTCATCGAAAATGCTCACGTTAAATAAGCGATAACGGCAGATTCCGTCCCATAGGCCCTTTCGACACGGGTTCCCTTTCCTGTAACGTTAATGCATTGACCATCCACGAACACATTACCTTGATTTTGATCAATACACAGTTTGTTGTTAAAGAGTGACTCGCATCGCTTTGCTAAAAACAAGAAAAGAATTTTCAGGGCCGTACGAAAAGAAAACACTGCCAGGTCTGTGAACGTACAATGGCCGACGTAGGTACTTTGTATGCAATCGATAATCGGTCCGATATCATCAGTTAGTTTTGTCATATGACTAAGCAGGTAATAACCATTGTGAATCGCCACGTTTTGATTTGCCAGTGTGAGCAGAAGAATACTGAGACCGATTCCTGAAAAAATCACCCACTATTCGTACTCATTTAGGACAATCTTTATTTTTTTTATACATTGTATCCTTCGTTTGTTCTTATAGACTTTAGTACCATTTTTAATTTCTCTTTGTTTTCATCTACAAAATATACATCTTATTAATTTTTTATTCTATATTATCTAATCATTTTTTTCATTACGTCATAATTTAGTGTCGATAATTATTTGTTTTTGCTACATACCTCTTAGCTAAACTCCTCCGTGCATCCTTCACAAGCTTCCTCTCTGTTTGTGCCACATTTCGCGAGTTTTTTTGCTCGAAAATCCTCTTTTCGCTCCTCCCAAAACAACTTTCGCTGCGGGTAGGGGGGGGCTGAGATGACTATAGAGCCACTTGAGCGAAGGAAGAATCTCCTCCCTAGCTGAGTTTTCTCTTAGAGTACATTCAAAGACACATTGCCTACTGCTCAAACACATGAGAGGGTGTATGAGACTATCAGCCCCCCAGCTGTCGATGTGTCGTGGTCCCCCGCCCAAAACTGCACGGGGTCAGAGTACGGGACCGTGGGAAAGTCGTAATTCCTTGCTACGCCGCCCGTTTTTGCAAACTCACGTTTTTACTAACACCGTTCGCGCGGCGCGGTCGCGTGCAGCTCTCTTGGCTTTTTGCCAAGTCCTGTAATTGCGCTTTGGAATACAAGTACAACGCAATTTCTTTATGCGGATAACATTTTAGGTTCTGCAAAATAAGAACTGAAGATGATGACGAGGGCTAGAACTCAAGAGCAACTGTGCTGCTTCTGCAATATCCCTCAGACTTCCCAGAACATGACAAATAAAAACGGCCTAAGCGTCCCACTCGTTAGTTTGAAGTATTTCTATAGCATTAGAGCCGGATTCGAGCCGGATCGCAGAAATGCACACGCGATTTTAATTTATTGCGTTTCCTTAGTTTTTTCAATTTTGTTTATTTACATCTACATTCGTTGTTGTTCATTTCTAGCCTTTGTCATCTTCATCACCTTCTATTCGGACTTTGAAGCATGAGCAATACCTCAAATGTTAGGAAATTGCGTTTTGCTTGTATTGTCATGTTTTATTGTCATGTTGTCCGTTTTTATTGTCATGTTCTGTGGGAATGCGCGGCCTCTGAGGGATAATTGGGCAGAAGCACCCACAGTCTTGAGTTCTAGCCTTGTCATCCATCTTCGGTTCTTATTGTGCAAGCACAAATGTTTAATCCGCCATAATAGAAAATTGCAACCGTACTGTGTATTCCAAAGCGCGATTATAGGACTTGGCAAAAAGCCCAGGAGGAGACTGCCACGACGACCGCGCGCTGCGATGGTGTTAGTCGGTTAAACGTGAGCGGCGGTATGTAGCAAGGGAATCAGCGACTTTCCCCGGCCCCGTCACTCTTGACCCCGTTGCAGTTTTGGTCGAAGGACCGACACCATCGGCACAGCTGGGGCATAGGTCTCATACACCCTACAAATGTTTTTGAGCGTACCATGTGTCTTTAACGGGCCCTGACTTAGCCAGGATGCACGGAGACATTTCAATTGGGCTCTTGTCTCTTTTTTTCCGAAATTGGAGCGGAATGAAATTCTTGAATTTTCAAAGTACTAACGTACCTATGTATCCGTAGCCGTGGAGAATAAAAGACATGAGAACACCTTTCTGGAGGTATTGGGAGACGAATAGCTCCAAATGCAGAAGTGGAAAAGAAATGAAGAAAGCAAACAGGAAGTATATCAGGAGGAAGAAGACTGAAAAGTTTCAGTGACTGATGTCCAGAAAAGAGAAGTTCATTAAAGAAAATTGGCTCCGAGTCTGGATGCTCTGCGAAAGGCACACCACTGCTGTGGAATTCCCTCACAATAGTCGAGCTCGGCTGCAGGCGTGACCGACTTTAAGGTTTTTCCTTTTGACTGCTAATCCCCTCCTGACTGACGGCAATTTTACTATTTCTTACAGTCGATCGGAAATTTCTACCCGCTCGCTAGACGTGAGTTCTGGAGCGGTTCTGGGGGTGGTTAGATTGAAGAAAAAAATATGGCGAAAGGATTCGTCGAGCAAGAGAGATTCCCACATGGTTTGTGCCCTGACTGTACCTTCGCCCACTGTGGAATCCCCTGCTTAAGTTCTCCTACTTGCTGTTGAGTTGTATTAGATGTCATTAACCACTACCCGCCTGCTACGGACAGGATACGTCGTACGTGACGGAGCCCAGCGAGAGGAAGCGGGGAGGGGCGGCACTGTCTGCTTTGAGGACGTCCTTCGGTTGCTGACTTTTTCCGGTTTTTCTTGTTTCAAGTGTTCCGTATACCCTCCTCGCCTGTTAAACGGCAGCTTTTTGGGGGGGGGAGGGTCGAAGTTCTAAGAAAAACTTCGGCAAGTTGGAGAAATTCAAGAGATGTTCTTGCAGAAAAATTGCGGAATTCTTTTGCCATTCTTGTGTTACACTGGGAAATTCTTGACTTCCTCAAAAACTCTATGGGGTGCAATAGGAGCATATTCCATAAGTAACCCTGTAAAACCTTACAAAAGCACTTACTACCGCCATTTCCTCAAAACTTCTATAGGGAAGGAAAACATAGTATTTGTTGAAGAAAAGTAGAGCTGTGATCACTATAGCGTCGAATATCGAAGTGCGGAATTTCTCCAACGGAACAGCAGGTCCTAAACCGTTAACGAACATGCAGCTCCAATCAAGTGCTACTTTTGGAAAGAAATCCGCAGCGCGTCCACGAATTCACTAGGCAGCGTTCAGACTTCGCGACAGTAGCGCTTCAGTCGCGCATTCGACGCGATCGAGTCGAAAGCATGCGTATTGATCGCGTCGAACGCGCGACCGAAGCGCTGCCGTCGCGAAGTCTGAACGCTGCCTGGACTGCGGCGGCGGTTGGGTATCTTTTGTTGTTGCCCGTGAAGACCAGTGGCGGCACACAGGGCACGTCATTAATTGGGAACCGCAGCGAGAGTGTCATGTTTGGTCGGAAATGGAGGATCGCACCAGAGGGGGAAATTCCGGAGGGAGGGTTGGATTTTGGAAACTTCCCCTGTTCCATTTTCTTTCTTCGTAGGAATTCCACTTTCTATGAGCCTCCCGTTTCCCTAAACCTGTGGAAGGCCCTCAGATACGTTGCTACCGGAAACGCTCCCACATGAATCCGTGAACACAGCTCTGGGAGCCTTGCTATGAATTGAAGTTGCATGCACGGCAGATTTGTAGAGGGAGGGTGGAGCATCGGGATGGGTGAAATGGCGACGTCAGTACGACCTTCCTACTTGTTACCTTCTCGAATTCAACTCTTTACAGACTCTACCAAATTTCCAAAAATTTCCTGCCTTTGACGCAAAAAAATTGGCGTCGCGCGGGCTGAAAACTTCCTCCAGAGCTAAATGGGACCCTCAACAACCAAACACTACCCTTTTCTTCAGCGGCCAAGTAGGAGTTCTATTGCGCCCTTACGGAATTTCCCAACAATGCTGTACTCTGTGTAGAAAGGCTGTTGGTTGCTCGGCACGGCTCGGTGGGGGCATCAACGGGTAGTAAGCAAAGTCTGTACAGGGATCTATCGAAACATATGAATTCTTGTAACCAAAGGGGTCACTTTCACTTTGTTTGACTTCCACAAGAGTTTACAAAGTATCACCAAAGTGCAATCTGTCAGTTCACATGAACTAGTAAAGGAAAGTGGCGAAGGTGCAGAATGCCCTCCCCACCCCGAGCCGAACAGCTCCCCACTGATTAATGGGGAATACCGCAAAAGTGCGTACTAGCTCCGCCCAAACTAATTTTCACGAAACGAAAACGAACTGTAATAAAAAGTGTCTTCAATGTCGTCGATGTCTTGCGAGTCGAATTCCTGAAACATGTAGGCCATCTGCTGTTCTGTAGAGCGATCAAGAGGAGTAAAAAGGCAGCAAACCAATCCTACCGCTTCAACTGCCGTAATAGATATTTGCATTTTCGCTTCCTGTGCGGAATCCTGCAATGAAGTTATTTGATTGGGTGGATAGAGGTTTTAAGTTGGGGGAGGGTGAAAGGGATCATAATTCGGAAAACATCGATCGTCTACCCCTCGCCCGCCCGATGGGAACAGGCATGAACAGGAGGAACGCGATCGTCGCGTGCGTAGCGCCGCGCGGCGCAAGCACTGAGGGCGCGACATAAATGGCTCTTATTTATAGTACGTCATGAAGTGGCCAAAGGAAAAAGAATAAGGCAAGTTGAACACCTATAAATTTGAAGGAAGAGGTCTTTCGATGATGCTTTTTTCGCGGGTTAACTCTAATATTGAGGGGACATCATACTCTCAGAGATGAGAGGGCGTGGCTGCGTACTTCAAATATGACGTAAAGATGACTATTTCGTGTGCTATTCCATTCGGTCCCATGTTAGAAATGACATGAGCACTGTAGTTCAAAACGGCAACATCCCACCAAATGAGTAAACCGGCTCGCCACTTCCCGTGAAGTACGGGCCGCCGCGCCCGATCCCATACCCCGGAGTATGCAGTGCCGACTGAACGATAAACTCATCAGGTAAAACTCACCACAGATGGCCTTGACCGTGCTGGTGTTGGATACCTCTTAAGTGAACGCGCTCTTCGAGGAGCTCTTGAGAAGAGCGACTTCAAGAAGCTCTGCCTGGATTCTACAAACCTGGTCTTCCTTGAGAATTTCGTTGAGCTACTTGAGCTTTCCTAAATCAGAGAGGCCGTAAGACTGTGTTAGTGAACACTTGAGTCAATGTACATGCCCTTCTGCCGATGGGTGGTGGTGGGGACGGTGGGGGGGGGGGGATAGGGGGAAACTGTACCTCGCAAATAGCTAATTGGAGCGGTGTTAGAAGGGTCACGCATCTATAGGACAGGAACACGCAGTCCCGCCGTCGCGCGTGCCAATTGTCAATCGCGTTCGGCATTGGTGGGGTACGCTCTTGGTCTCATTGTCGCGTGCGGCGTAATCGTGCGGCACTGGCAAGAACGCTTGCAATCTGAAGTGTTCCATAAGGACAGGTAAACCAACATTCCTGACTTATGATATCTCCTGTTCAGGTACTTGAGCAGATTAGTCGAGCCGTCTCGCTCACTATCGCATGATGCGTCCGAATGCGACGCGGCGAAAGTTATGATTGCCCTTATTACACGCTAATGCGGCACGTCATTGCGCACAAGAGCCCTACTTGGCGCCCCGACGCTGCCGGATTGAAGGGGGGGGGGGGAAGAGGAGCATTCTATTAGCTCTAGTTTTTTATATTAGGTCATCCCATTCAAAGTGGCCGATGGTTTTTTTTGAATAAAACAAAGAGGAGAATAGATAGAAAAGTGATATTTTAGCTTTAGGATGAGTAAATCCCTCCTTCACCAATGACCCGCTCCCAGTGCCCCGAGGGCCTTTGGACCTCTGGTACCTTCGATTTTTCAACAAGTGTGAGTAAATTGCTGTTGTTGCCAATTTCGGCAATTGACAAAACATTGTAGCGTCTGCCGTCGAAGAGTACTCTCTACTGAATAGAACAGTTGTAATCGCATGGCTTTATGACGGGCGAATGGGACGATTGAACTCAGGTCTCAGTATTGTTTGTGTCCCAGCACTGATCTACAATACAGTTACTCGGGGTCTGGCACTATGACGAGCAACGGTGGCCTTCTTGTAGTTGTGTGGTACCATCCATTTGTCGATCTGAATGCCGAGGAACAGGCAATATGCACCGACAGTGACGGATTTGTCCTCTGTATAGAGCCGCTTGAAAGCCACAGTGTGGGAATCCTTTGCTATGATGATCATCCACTTGCGCCCACGTAACTCTTCATGGTAGAACTCGGGCGGCTTCTCATCTGCATTCATACAAAATTGACGATTGTGAGTTCGGCCCGATGTCCGAAGACCACACCATATTTCCATGCAGGGTCCGGGGTGGCGTTTTTCACCAGTTGGTGAGTGACATCTTCAATGCTGAGAACAATTACTGCTAGATAGTATAGATGATCGTACTGGCCGTTTCGGCTTTTATAAAGAAAATGGGTACCCATGCGCCACCCCTCTGAGCTCAATCCTCCCGTTTATCGGACATAACTCGGGCAGCAGTTGCAGCTGGGATGTCAGACTCGCGGGGAAGCTCGACAAGGGTCCAGGCTCTGTGATCAGATATTCAGTGCCTGACTTCATCCACCCGTTTTTCTTGTGCAGGATGAATATTATGGGACCACCCACGACAACAAATTTTTTCCTTTCTTCCTTGTACGGGCTCCTGAACCAGATCTTCCACCGTGTATTTCGAGAACACCCTTACACACAACTATGGTCCGGCGCAGGTCAAATTTGAGCAGCGCACTTTCCTTTTATGACGTCTGATTTGAAAAACCGGCGCCGATTTTCACCACTCGGGCTTCTCTTCAATTTCTCGAGAACTTCTTCAGAGGCTAGGTTCGCCAAATTTCACAGATACACAGCTTAAGGTACTAGCTTCCAAATGGTATAGTAGCCCGCTGCTCTATCCCCTTTGCTTTTCTGCCATTCCTCTATATGTGTCGGCCACTTTGAATGGGATGACCTAAAGTTTCGCACAATTATACCCGTCTCACCTATACGTAGTAGCTGTAGGGGTAAACGAACTCCGCGCGATGCACATGTCCTTTATACGAAGTTTACGGGCTCTCAACAGGCGTCGGCACCGAATCGATGGGTACAGCATCAAGCCGAACTGCGCCGGTGCGGCGAACTTTTTTAGGTGGCAAAAATTAAAAGGGTCCAAGAAGTTAGGCGATTGTCCTCGACTGCTTTCTAATTAGCCAATTCCTAGCCTTCAGTCGGCCGAGTGAACCATTTTCACGGGTTTTCCGTCTCTACTTACAGCTGAGTATGAAAGCGACCCAGCATAACGCTTTCTATTTTTTTCGTCCCTCGTTTGGAAGGGCGATTAGAATGTGACCACGGTCATTGCATCGATGTCATCATTCTGAGTCGTAACATGTTTGACCTGAACGGTTCGGGTGTACGTTCGCTAAACTCGCAGGTTACCCAGCAGAAGAAAAATCCAAGGTAGCGTTCAGACTTTGGAATGACGCGCGTTGACACGCTATGAAGCACTGTAACGCGCTATCATCACAATAGTGCTGCAATCCCAGTAATCTTTCGAGAATATTTTTCCTCTGGTTAGCGTCATAGTTTCACTTGGAGCCCTTTTCAAGTGTGCAATGCAGCTCTGACTGATAGAAGAGTTTGCAAAAATAAAGAGAACTCACCGACCTACTACCGGTTATTGATTCTTTCTTCTCCTGAAAGGAGTAACAAAAAGTACATATTCGAGAGAGAGGATGCATAGGTAGCGTTCAGACTCCGCGATCACGCGCTACCTTGCAGTGGCGCTCCAATGCTACAGAAGGCAATCGCAGAAGTATCGATCGGCGTCGGCCGCTAGTGTCTCGAGAGAGTGTAGGATAGCAGGAGGGTAGGCATCAGCGGCACACAATCTGCTACCCTCTTGTTATGCACTCTCTCGAAACACAAGCGGCGTGCGCTCATCGATATCCATCTGCGGCTGCGATCCTGTCTGTAGTACCGGAGCGCCACGCGGTTGCAGTGGCAGCGTGTCGTGGCGCGCGACGCGCGTTACGGCACGCTACAGCGCATTATAGCGAAGTCTGCACACTGCCATGGAAATATCCTTATATGATAAAGTTATTTAAGGCCTACCGCATTGACGGCAGCATCATCTTTCGACGGCTGTACCGGCTCCATTATTGTGTATGCTTATTTCTGGGGATGGACTCGCGTATACTCCTGAATGGTCCTCAGTCGTCAGACTGTAAATATTACATTACGTTACACAGCTGACTTAAAGGCAGTTGGCACGATGATTTGGTGCTCGGCCTAAAATGCTAGTAGGGCGCTATATAGTGGGGAAATGGCGAAAGAACGGAGTGAAACGGTCAAAATCCTGCGAAGAAAGAGCCTCCGTTCTCAATGACTTGAAAATCAATTTCGGACGAGTTTCCCGTAGGCATCTTGCCAATAACCGCTACCGAAGGTACGGCTGCATATGTGTACCATATATGCAGCATCACGGCCGCTTCATACCAATCCCTTCGCTTCATAATTTGCTTAGCAAATGAATGAATACGAGCGTCAGGAACGGTCGTCCATTTGTGGGCGGGCGGGCGTGGCGGGCGTTTGGGTCGGTATGTTGTGGCTTGATAGGGCCCTTATAAGGGCACCTCCCTTGGAAAAGGCATTATGCAGCGCCTGCTCAGGGTCGCGGAATTCCGTCCTGCCAGGCGTATTGATCCTACTCGTCTTAGGGTATTTGTCCTGCCAACTGCTTTTAAGCCGTTGAGTGTTCAGGACAAGTTGTACCCTGGGAATCCCTCTCAAGGAGTTGCATGCAGTTGCTGGGAGAAGGGAGGTTTCGTGGTTCAAGAAAAATTTCCGGTTGAACGACTTTAACCAGTCTTTCCGATTTTTGATGGCCTATTACCTCCAATTCCCCCCCCCTCGTCCCCTAAGCTTCCGCCCCTTCTCGCTCGAAGGGAGTTTTCTGAGGAAAAAAAATTTAGAAATTCTTGGGAAGGCGGGAAAAGTGGCAGGGTGTTGGGAAAGCTTAGGCAGCTGGCAGGTATACTCGAGATCCCTGAGTCGGGTAGGCGAGGCTGCATTCTTCAACATAACCTGAAGGTGTCTATGCTTCTGGTGGAATATTTTCACCTTGACACAACTGTTGTCGTGTCTCTGTCCAACACAGAACAAGATGACAGTTGTCCCAGACTGGAATATTCCACGAGTAACCAGTTCCGTGCCATGTTCAAATGCCACGCCTACTCTGGCTCAGGGATAAGGAGTGTAGGATGGAAGATGGTAAGAAGGAGCTGCACCTATGGAGACCGTATTTTGCAAAACTTTCTTTCAACGGCATGCCCCGGGATGGAAAGCGCACCAGCATGCCTGCCTAGATGTCGTTAACTTTGAGACCGAATTATCCCCCCCCCTCCGCTAATTCCCAAGGGAGGGACCACCGCGCCTCGAAGGCTATGGGAAAGTCATCCATGACTTGTACTCTCTATCTCTTCAACAGTCTTGTCCACTTGCCACCGTACCGCTCAACGCAGGATGGAGATGTCGTCAATCCAGTTCTCCCTTTTGAAATCGGTCACGCCTTCTTATCGGTGAAGAATTGTACGACATCCGGTCCCGACGATCAGACTCAAACATCTGAAGAATCTTCAGGACCTTCCGCCAGTCCTCGTCAAGTTTGGCTCGACTTCGCGCACTGACTGCCTGAATGCACGGTCCCACCCAAAATCCAGCAAGACTGTGTTGCTGTACAAAAAAGGAGACCTGTACGACATTGGCAATTATCGCCCAATCTGCCTGCTGTCTGTAGTCTACAAACTCTTCACTCAAGTATCCTGAAGAGAATTGGCAAAAGATTAGACGAAGGACAGCTATAAGAGCAGGCACAGTGCAAGATGATATTATGTCTCACGTTCGACTTAAAGAAAGCCTGCAGCTCCGTAGAAGCAGAAGCGGTCGGCGCCATGGGCAACCTGCGCGATAGGATTCCTCGTAAACTCTACAGAATTTTCACGATCGGGATCTCATCTTTCTACAAGGAGATCATCATCGACGTGAAGAGAGGGATCCGACAGGGCGACAACACCTCCGTACAAGCTATTCAGCGCCTCCTCGAGAACGTCATGCGTCAACTAGAATGCGAAGACGTAGTAATGGAGATCGACGGCTGGCAACTACACCATCTCCACCTCGGTGAAAGATGGCGTTAATAACATCGAATACCGAACAAACGGAAGCAGTTCGATCTCTACATTTCACAGCACATCTGAAATTTTGCTGCGTGACTATCTCAGAATTTACTAACCCTCATAGGAGCAGACGGAGGACCTCACAACCGTGACTTCCAACCTATAGGACACTTGCTAAATCTTGCAGAACTCACGGATAGCAAGTCTTCCGGCTACTCGATGGAAGGACGACCGTCTGATTGCGTGATGAGTGAGAAAATGACTCGACCTGACTCGGCTGACCACTTCACCTCATGCGGCATCATATCTATCAGTAGCCGAAAACAAAAGTGTTGTCCATACCTCTGGACACCTAGTGAATCATGAAATCGGCAGAAATGACGCTATTGCTAGACTATGGTCGCCGCTTACATGTTAGGCTCCTCATCCCTTAGAGGAAAAAGACATCGGGTCTGAGCCTGTATCACCTGTGCTCCCGTTGATCATCGAGTTAATCGAGCTAGCGCCAGTATCGTCTCCATAGAAGGAAGGGTTGCCTAATGAATTCTCTCTGCTGAGGGAGAACTTCATACCGTGGTGTTCGCTTGAAATCCGCGGAATCCAGTCGTTAGTCGCTCTGGTACAGCGGTCGTCTGCCCTGCCAACCATTGGAAACCTTGGCAAATGCGGCGGCGTCTCTGATCTTCGATCGTCGGCGGAGCTCCAGATTCCCTCTCTCACTTGCGTGTAGCGGGAAACTCCGAGCATCGCCCTTTCGATGGCGCGTTGAATAACGCCAACCGCATGCTCATCCTGCTTTCGTAGAGTCCAAGTCTCTGAGGCATAAGTCAAGGCAGGAAGGACCGCGGAATCAAAGAGAATTCGATGGGGCGCGGAGCGTGGTTTTCTTCGCCTTCTTCGCTACTCCCTCGATTCTTGAAAGCTCTCCAAGCCACTCGCTTCCTTGTGCTCAGCTCTGGTGCTAAGTCAAGCATTCGGAGATGGTCGTTCGGTCTCTGAATGCTCTTGGTATGTGAGGTCTCTCTGGGGTCTGAACATGGCTTGAAGTCCTCGTGGCATATTTTGGTATGAGACAAATGCCATGTTTTCAGTTTTAGAATGAGACTGACAAAACTGTGTCGAATGGGAATATATCTCTATCTCACAGCCATTGTCAGTTCAGTCGAAGTACGCAGCCATGCCCACCCCATCTCGAAGGATTTCGAGTATATATTCCCGATCGATCTTTCCTGGCATCCTCCTCACGCATCCTCCTACTTCCTGGTCATTACGTTGTCAAAGGTGAAGCCACCATTGTGGTTGGTAAAGATGCTCAAATACGAAGGACAAGGTACATTTCACATCCCGGAGATGGAGATGGCCTGGCTACGCACTTCATTTCGTCGTGACGGCGGCTGGGTTTTTGGTGGAACATTGCTGATTCGAGACAACTGTGATCTTTGTACAGCACAAGAAAGGATGGCAATTGCCTCAAGTCAAAACAAAACGGATTCTGCGCCATGGTCAAACGAAGAAACCGGCCACGCTATCCCCATCTTAGCGATATGGAGTGCATTAAAGGCAGCACCCACGTTCAATTTGATGAGTTATGGGGCTCAGACAGTGACAACAAGGTAGCAAGTAGTTCATTAGTGGAAGAAAATGCAAAAAAATCATCGGATATGCCCTATATAGGACCCCACGCCGAGCTGAGGTTGTACGTGCTTAAGGCGAAGAGAAGGCGCGGCCGCACGAGTTCTCACTTGTTGATATCAGCTGTTTTCCCTTATCACCTCACTCTCACCATTCGAAGTGGAGAGAGTTAGTAGCAGAACAACCGCACCATCAGGCAACCATTAGAAATGAAGTTGGGCGTAGTGGTCGCCAGGTGGGCGGGGTGGCCGACTCTTCACGAGCGGGCGCCGCTATTCTCTCGCATTTTTGAGTTGCGAAACTAGTACGTCCACCATCCTCACAGGGTGGCTACAATGTCCAGAGAGGGCGTGCGAGCAACAAATGAACGTGGGCGCTGCCTTTAATAGGTATATAGTGAAGAAGAGCCGCAAAGTTCAAGAAGCGAAGCCCCAAGACCGTCATCAACTGGGATCACTTCACTTCTCTCGCTGGGCTCTGGGAGGATTCCGTCAACATCGACGAGGAATACGAACGGCTTGTCGCACATCTTCACGACTGCGCCAAGAAGTCAGAGAGTTCCAAGATTACCAAGAAGCGTCTATCTCTGGAAACTCTCGAGCTGATTCGCCAACGTGGAGCCGCACGAGCCGCAGGCAATTACCAGCTGACGTCTGAGCTTGTGCAGAAAAGCGATAAAGGAAGACCTCAAGGAGAGAAGAGCAGCTTTACTGGTGGAAGCCGCAGAGGCGGGAAGAGCATCCGCAACACCCGCCGCGACTTCGCCAACTGCAAGACCAAGATGACCGCCCTCCGACGTCCGGACGGAACAATCACCGCATCCAGAAGGGCAATGGAGAAGGTCATCCACGACTTCTACTCTGATCTCTTTGACAGCCACGTCCACCTGCCACCATACCGCTTGGAGCAGGATGGATATGTCGTTCCTGCAGTTCTCCCTTCCGAAGTCCGACACGCCATCTCGTCGGTGAAGAATCGTACGGCACCCGGTCCCGACAGGATCAGACCCGAACATCTGAAGAATCTTCCGCCAGTTCTTGTCAAAACTCTGGCTCGACTCTTCACGCGCTACCTGTCGGAATGCAAGGTACCCACCTCGTGGAAAACCAGCAAGACTGTGTTGCTGTACAAGAAGGGAGACCAATTATCGCCCAATCTGCCTGCTGTCTGTAGTCTACAAACTCTTCACACGAGTCATCCTGAACAGGATTGGCAGAACACTAGACGAAGGACAGCCATGCGAGCAAGCAGGGTTTCGAAGAGGATTCAGCACGATCGATCACATCCACACGGTAACGAAGCTCACTGAAGTATCACGAGAGTACAAGATGCCGTTATGTCTCACGTTCA